GGCAGTATGTGTGTGTTTTTTATTAATATTTTTATTCAGCAAGGATGCATTGCACTGAAGACTGGAGTAATGACTTCTGAAAATTCATATTAAATTGTAATAATATTTCAAAACATTACTGTTTTTACTGTATTTTTGATCAAATAATTTTTTTCCCAAATTATTTATAAAAATCTTACCAACCCCAAACTTTTGAACGCTAGTATATGCATTTCCTTTTGTGTCTGCTGTATCTAAAATCATACATGTCTCTTGAAAATGTAATCCAGTTAGCATGATGTGCTGTTGGCATAATATAGTGTAGACACAGTAAGCAAGTGGAATCATACAGTGCAGAAGAGCAGAAATCTAGGGTTACAGTACACCATGCTGCCTCATGGATAAGGTCATATGAACGACCTAGATTGATTGGAGTGTTTATATACTTTGGTATAGAGTGACAGATGCGTCCTAGGGAATCCTTCTAAGAGTGAACCCCTGAAGCAAACCCAGGGAAACATGAGTGCAATGTAACTCATATTTAACTCACACTATGCCTATATATGTGGCATATTTCCACTTGATACTTATTAGTGTTTGCTATTGATAATACATAGCGTGAGGGATCTAAATGTACTCCAAAGTATTAAACTTAAGCATGTGTTAATAATGTCATCTCACACCATTTGTGCTATAGGCTAGTCAAGAATGAGATCATTCGTAATATGTAAAAAAATAAATAAACCTAAATAAATAAAAAATAATAAAATGCCCAAAAGCATTTAAATTACATTAGTTGTAAACAGAAAAACTGTAAAATGCAACAACTTTTTTTTTTTAAGTATTAAAAATGTAAAATAGTAACACTGCAATATATTACAGACAGTTTCTGAAAACTCTGAAATTCTGAATTCTGAAGTTTGTTTTCTAAGAGACTATTGTCAAAGTACAAGAGAACCCAATGTGAAACAACACAGATCAATGAAATCCATGTTGAATTAGTCTCTACATGAGATAAACGTGACTGAGTTCAGCATAACAGGATGGTTGTAGGGGACAACTGCTGCTGGAAGGTATTAAAGCATCTAGAAAGAGAGAGAGGAAATTTATTATTAATATATTTCAATTAAGTGCTGTTAAGTGTTTCCACAAAAAATATTAAGCAGTACTACAGTTTTCAACATTGATAATAATAAGAAATGTTACCAAATCAGCATATTAAAATGTTATTCCATCACAGGACTAAATTACATTTGAATATATATATTAAACAGTTCATTCATAACATTACTGTTTTTACTGTATTTTTGATCAAATCAATGCAGCCTTGATGAGCATAAGAGTAACAACCCCAAATATTATTCAATAAATAATATATGTTTTATATTCAAATGTATTTAAATATTTAAATACGTGGATGAAACAGTCTGAAAATCTTATATCAAAATGATCACAGTTATCAATTAAATCATGTTATTGTTAAAATGTGCTGGAAATGTTCAAAAACTACATTGTAACAAATTATTTTTATTTTATTATTCAGTTTTCTACTTAAAAAAATGACATTTAATTTAATGTTACTTGCCCTTTTTTGTGAAATTTACTAGCAATTTCTAAGTCAAAAAAGTTTCATTGTCAGTATTTCATTGTCACATGAGACATTTTCGTGACACATACTAGATGTAAGTGGCTGACCACTTGTGATCGGACCACCATATGCATCTTAATAACAGCTGTTCATAGCGTACATACAAAAGGCGTTATGTAAAAGTGGAGAAACACCTTATGGCTCATTTGCATGTAAGAAGACAACAGCTTATCAACCACAGCCGTTTACAATAGAACAAAGCTTTAACGTCTTCATATGAGGATTCAAATGAGGTGGCAAACCAGCTGCAACAGGTCTAGGTTGGCTGCAAAACAAAGGAATCCTCAAAGGGAGTCAGGACTTCCCCCTTTTAGTGAGTCGCCGTGGTGGCTTTGCCGGAATGTCTCACGGCAACGCAGTCATCCCATAAATCCCTGATACCTCATACACTGTACCAGCCGCAGTAATTACAACTTCCCCATTAAAACAATGAAACCGTTCGCCTGATGAAGACAAGGGGAGGCTCACGAGCAAGGGGATCCTACAAGCTTCCCCCGAGTTTCTCTGACTCCTAAACAAAATGCTGGCAGAGTAGAGCTCACCCATGAAGTTCCTAATCGTCTCTTATAAAAGCCCCAGCCCACCCTGATTCTGGGCAGTGGGCTTTTATAGATAACACCTATTGCAGAGGTTGCTATATGAGGCGTACATGCGGGTGGTTCTACGTCTTTGATCTCCGCTATGCGTGCTTTGTTATACCTCCAATGAAAGAATTCATTATTTGTACGATCACTCCTTCATCTTTATATATGTTTCCCATGCGGCCCTTTATGGCCATTATTTCACTAATGTAGTAAACAGACACACATGCACTTCAATTACACACCTTGAATGCATTAGGGAAATATTTTGTGTTGTGTTCGCGGTGGCAACCGGCTATGTAAAGGTTACCTATGCTTTCTAACATGAATCGAGGAGGCTCTACTATCTCAGTTTAACACAAATGTTCTGCGTATAATAAATTCTTTGCTTGCCAAAGTCAATAAACAATGAAACTGTTCATGTTTAGGAGTGCAAGGGAGAAAAACACCGAAAGTGAAAAAAATAGCTCAAGTGGATTTGTGTACCTGTTGGAAGTGTTTAAGCTTTTTTTTTACATTTTATTATTATGAGCAGGTCATTGATTCTCCCTTTCCTTGATATTCCACTATTTTCAAGGGCAACTAACAATAAAATATCATAAATTTACTCTGTTGAGAAGAAAGTAGTGTTGTATTTTACTCAGATAAATATTAATAATAAATAATAGCAATGTCTAATTAATAGCAACTGTTTGGAGTCCAGAAAGCTGTAAAAAATTACATTAAAAAAGTTATATTTTCATCATTTCAATTCAAATCTAGTACCTTTGTTTGGGGTATATTTTTGGCTGCTAGGGTGTTAAGGTGCGGTCAAATTTATTGTTTTGTGGGTGTAATCCATTAATTTCAATAGGAATCCAATGGATTGGGAACTTTTCATGAGGACAAAAGGTTTTCCCACACAGATTTCGTATCGGGTTCAGCTGGTCATGAAAATTGTCTGCGTTGACTAACAGAAAGCTGTTTGGTTTGAAAGTGACTTCTATGTGAACTGTAATTCCTACTTCACTACACTATTGACAACTAGGGATGTCAAAATGACTGAAAAACTAAATTCGAAATTTTTACTTAAATATGATTAAAATTCGAATTATATTAGAATTTAAAAGGCATAATTTCAGTTAGGGGGAAAAAAAAGCTTTTGGCTTCTCTCTTGAGGCCACAAGAGGCGCATCGAGCATAAATATTATGCACGTTTCTTCAAAGAGTAATAAAATAACACGACTATCTTTGAAAAAAGTGCATAATGTTTAAAATAATATTTATAAACCATATATAATTAATAAAGTTGCTTAAACAATTAGAAAAAAAACAGCACCATGCATGTGTATTTAATACAAAGGGCCGAAAACCAATCACAAAAGTAGGCTACTTTCTTCATTTAAAAACATGAGATACAGTGGGATGGGGAAAAACCGCCATAAAGTCTTGAGACATGTTTTTTAAAAGTTGAACTTACATTAATTTTACATGGCTTTCTAAACATGCCGCTCTCTGCGAGACGCGAGTGCAATGCTGACAGATGTCCCTCTAGAAAATTGGATAAATATGCGTTCTGTGTGAACGGCTTGGTTTCAGTTTTGACGTAAACAACATCTTCTCCACATTGATGCTCTCGTTTTCCGCAATATATTGAATGAACAACGTAGCAGCGCCGCATCTAGTGGGTTCAACTGGATAAGCTAACAAAAGCATTAAAATGCAATGATACTTACATCGTCGTCGCATTTCGTGCGCCACTGATAAGACTGCCTGACGGCTTACGCAGACCTAAAATTAGAATGCAAAACGTTTAATTCTACGAATATTCGAAATTCTAATTTATTTTTTAACAGCCCTATTGACAACAGACAATTTTTGCACATGACATTTTGTTAATGTGTCCACACCTTTTTGGGGCATTATTTAATATTATATAATCTAGTTGAATGGTTGCTAGGTGGTTTCTTAATAGCCTAATGTCAAAATAGCCCAGCCGAAAGTCTCTATTATATTACATTTCCATTTCCAGCACAATATACAGCGGCACCCTGAATTCAGACACTTCCCATGACACATAAGCAAGTCTCTCCAGGCCATGTCTGCTGATAAACTCCTCTAGCTCTCAAACCACAAAGAACTGGAATAATCTGGTTCCAACTGCTCAAGTACAGTCAGACACACACAGGCGGATATCTGAGGCTAACATAAGCCGGTGCACCAAGCAGCCTCTGATGCACAGTAACAACAAGGTTATAGGGCAGAGAGTGTGAAATAATTAATAAAAGAGAAAGATAAACTCCAGAGACGTAAACCAAAGGCTGCAAGGTGCAGAATGAGAAACAGAAGGAGATCAGGTTCTGTATGATCATGTGACTGACAGGAAACGAGAGCGGTGATCTTGATGTTGAACTGTTGAAGTTCTTAATACGATACACACTGGTGTGATGACAGATCTACAGATGCTCTAGTGCATTGGAATTTCACTGTGCCACCTTTGTGCTGGGTATGAGTGTCTGGCATCCACCAGAGCATATAGTCATTAACACTTTTTCATAAATCCATAAATTGCATTCATTAATCTAGTTCTAGGTGAAGCGTGTAAAGTCTGCACAAGTTTCCCTATTTGAGGACACTCCGCCTGCCTGCCATTGGTCAGCCAAACAGGTAGTCATGCCTCATAATCGCACCATTGGTTGAATCATTGTTGCAAAGCTGGGCTGGTCAGGATTCTCAAACAAACAAAGTCATGTTTTGAAACCACCAGTGTTTACAATTTTCTGGGAAAATCAACCTACGAATGATTTACTTACAGATAAGCTGGGATAGGAGAAAGTATTTTAACATAGAAAAAATACACACTTCACCTTTAATCAAGTTATTTGGTTGAATAACTTTAGTGTAAAGTTGAATTTACATTAGCATTTATAAGAATTATATAAATGTCAAAATTTGTATCTCTTCAAACTTCCTCACACATAGACTGAATTAAAATAATTTGGCATTATAATTTTTTTCTTAAATTGGAGTTTAAGTAGATTTTTCTAATTGTTTGGAATGGTAATTTTAATTATTATTTTGACACACATTTTGCCAAAAATGGTAACAAATTATAAAAATAATGAGAAATTACCAAATAAATAAAAAAAATAGAAATCAGACTCATCAATCTAATTTGTGATGGAGCCCCTAAGAGGACATTGTGATGGGAAAAAAAATTTGAGATGGAAGGAAAAATTATATTTCAGTGCTATGTTCTCTTGCCAAAGTATTGTGTTCCCCTAAGCGCTCTCTTGCAAAACATTTGCTTTCTCTTGCAAAACTGTTGCGTTCCCTCAAGAAACTTTTGAGTTTGCTCGCAAAAGCACTGAAATATAGTTTTTGCTCCCATCTCATATTATTTCCATCACAAAAGTTTTGTGCGCAAACACAAAACACTGAAATACAACTATAAAAATAAAAAAATTTAACTCACCCTGTCCATTTGAGTAGTAGATCCACCTCTCCTTGGTCTGCGCTGGAGAGCTGGGCTTCTTGTGGATGGCTTTCTCCATGATGCTGCTGGGATCCTGTCTGGGACCCTTCTTCAGCACCCGCGAACTGCGCTTTACGCTGCACACCACGATCACTACCAGCACCAGTAGAAGCAGCAGGACTATCATCCAAGGCAGGTGCTCATTGATGTCAAAGTGCTTGTGCGTGCTAGGCCTCGGCGCACCCCTGCGGATGGGCCGGTAACCCAAACCTTGAGCCTTGCCCTCAGACAGAGTTTCCATGGCCTGTTGGTTGGCAAGCTGGGGGTCTGGTGATAAGGAAAGCTTGTTTTGCAATTTAGGGAAGTCCTGAGTTGCAGCGATTAAGAGTCCGACATCCTCATCACTAGACTTGGAGGAAGATGTGGTTGTGGGAATGTCATCAGCGTCGAGGGCCGCATCTGTGCTACTGAGGACCGGCCCTGCTACATCCTGAATCTCTGCAGCTGGTGAAACTGAAGTGCTTGCTGTGTGCAGAGTGGATCATATAATTGCAGACAAAAACAGAGAGACAGAGAGAGAGAATTAAATATAGTCCTAAAGATGAGCTTAACCTAGACAACAAAACAGAAGGGAGAGTATCTAAAACTTTAATCCAGCATCAAGATGGTAGCTGATAGCAAAGTGGAGCTGTGCTGCTCATCCAACATAATCTCACATGGATTTCTCATTCTTAACTGTTCAGATTTGACCCCAAGAAACTAAAGTCAATGCAAACTGAGGAACCAGAAATAGTTTTCTTCTGAAAATAAGAGATAAGATAGAGGACTAATACTATTGACAATACTATGACTGCTTTGGTAAAACAACAATTTTTTTTTTTAACAATTTAGCATATTTTTACATATATACTACTGTTCAAGAGTTTGGGGTCAGTAAGTGTTTTTTTTTTTTTTTAAAGAAATTAATACTTATTAGCAAAGATGCATTAAATTAATCAAAATTGACAATAAAAACATTTGTTACAAAGGAACAAATCTTCTATTTCAAATAAATTAGATTTTGAACTCTCTATTCATCAAAGGATTATGAAAAAAAAATTATCATAGCTTCCACAAAAATATGAAGAAGCACAACTGTTTTCAACATTGATAATAATAATAAGAAATGTTTCTTGAGCACCAAATCAGCATATTAGAATGATTTCTGAAGGATCATGTGACACTGAAGACTGGAGTAATGATGCTGAAAATTCAGCTTTGCCGTCATAAATTATAACTTTTTAAACATTATGTTTTAAAATATATTCAAATAGAAAACCGTTATTTTAAACTTATTTCAAATATTTTACAATATTACTTATACAATACACAAACACAATATTTATTTATTTTTTTCAATCAAAAAACATTTATGCAGTCTTGTTGAGCACAAGAGTCTTCTTTTGAAAAACATTAAAATAATCTTACCAAGCAAAAAACTCTTAAATGGTGTGTAAATTAAAAGGCGTTAAATAATTTTCATGCATTTATTATTATCATTATTATTGCTATTATTATTAATAATAATATAATTATAATTATTATTATTTAAACAGTAAGCTATAAAAACACGCAGAAAATTTTCAAAAGCTATTGCTCATAAACAGCTACATCTGTACAGGCCTAAAAAGAGTCCTCTAAAGCATTGTTTCCCAACTTTTCTTTAGTCGCGGCACCTTTTGCAAATTTTAACAAATTTGTGGCACCCTACAAAATTAATTTTGTCACAATATTTGAAAAGCACGAGACGGTTTGATTTAAAACTTTGAATTGAATAAAAAAATGACAAGGAGACTAAGCAGTTAATAATAAAATAAGAATAAATAAAGAAATTACAAATGATAGCACAAATAAAAAAATAATGATAGGCCTACAAATGAAATAAATTGCTTTTTAGTTTTTCGGGTAGGTCTAACACACAGTAGGGCTATTAAGATTTTTTTTTTTTACCAATTATCCATATAATGTTTAATCCTAGAAAGCTATTATTATCAGAGGACACGTGAGCATAAAGGTTAGCAGATCAATGAATGAGAGGGCATTGTTACCAGAGCTGCCCGTTTACCACACCTTGTTACAACACAGTAGGGCTATTGCAAACAGAAACAATACTGTACTACATCGATGCAGAGCGTCACACCACGTGAAAGTGAAACCTGAGCGGTGAACTAATTTTCGGCAGCCGAAATTTCAGTGCATCTCTAATTATTGGCGACATCAGAAATGGATATTATATAATAGCTGCTTTTATGAACATTTTAGCAATTTAAAAATATTAAAAAAGGATTTTTTACACGGCACCCCTGCTCTCGACAGACGGCATACCAGGGTGTCGGGGCACCCCGGTTGGGAAACACTGCTCTAAAGAACATACACAAAAGCATCACATTCAACCACTGCTTTATTTAAACACCAAATTAGGGAAATTGATGAAGGGGTTGAGCAATCATGTTGAAAAGGGGGAGCTGTTAGTAACAACAGAATCAATGGATTAAAGCACTTGTACAACACACCAGGAGAATATAACTCTACCAAGGAAAGAAAACAAATTTCTATCTATCTATCTATCTATCTATCTATCTATCTATCTATCTATCTATCTGTCTGTCTATCTATCTATCTATCTGCCTGCCTGCCTGCCTGCCTGCCTGCCTGTCTGTCTGTCTGTCTGTCTGTCTGTCTATCTATCTATCTACTGTCAGTGCATCTAGTTAACTACGTGTACTCTATTCAGTAAGGAATAGCTCTACACTGAGCTTCTTCACTCTCACCTCTGTATGCTGACTCAGTGCTGGAAACCGTGGAAACGGAGGCCTCTCCAAGTAGGACATAGACCGAACTGGCTGGAGTTGGCCCACACACACTATCTGTCTCTTCTGTGCCTTTGATCAGCAGTGTTAAGCCCAGAGACGAGCAAACTGTGTGAGATCGGCACCTCAGAACATCTGATGCCACATCAGAGAAGGTGCCACGCTGACATGACCGGCAGCGCACATCCTCTGTCTCACTCCCTCGCTTTCGGACGCCCCACCCCGGTGGACATAATGTGTACCGCTGACACTTTCCACCCTGGGAGAAGCTGCCTGGCGGACACATGCACAACCGATCGGTGGTGGACGTGCAGGGAGTTTTCTCGACAAATGGGGCTTGGCAGCGTCTCTGACAGCGGTGGCACTGCTGAACACCATTCTCACCCCGGGTGAAGGTGCCGTCTGGACAGGGGCTGCATTCCCGTACACTGGCCTCTGTGCAGTGGGAGGACACGTAGGTGCCCGCCGGACACTTGTCGCACACCAGCTTGTTACCAGTGGTGGGGTCGATGTGATGGTAGTGTCGAGGAGACAAGGGCTTCTCTGTGGTCGGGCTGGGGGTCAGTGTGTGGGTTAAGACGTCACTGACCGCAGTGATCAGCAGCTAACAGCAATGAAAGAACAACAAGAAGACTGTTATGCAATGACAATACAAACAATCAAAACACACACTAAATGTCTATTTAGCATGAATGACCACTGCGTCATCGGTTTGTATTGTAAGAAGAGTATTTTAAAGAAAAAAAAAATGCTAGAAAGGAATCAAGTTCTTTAATTTGTTTGATGGCTACATACTCGTGTCTTTTCAACAACTACAAGACAAGTTTGACATTTCAAATGACATAATCACCCGTGGAAGAAAATTATCGCTAATTCAAGAAAATGAGCCATCAGTCATTTAAAGCTGTGATGAAATGGAAGTAGCGACAGATGTTTTCTTCCATGTTGTGACGTACATCCGTGCAAAATTAATTATTGGAAAAAAATGCAGGGTGGGGCAGGTTTATGTGGACAAAATGAGATAATTCTGTCATTTCACAGTAAAGTCAAGGTAAAAAAAGAAGAAGAAAGAAACATGAATGGATGAATGAACCCATTTAGAAAATTAATTTAATTAATTTCCATTTCATGCCAACTTTAAGCATTATCACTGCATTTAGGAAAATTTAGAAGAGTGATCACTGAAATTGAAGATTGTGCAAACCATTTTATTTGAAATAAGTCAAAGAAAACACTGTTTAAAACTGTTCATCATCTCCATTGTATCTTGGTCTTATTAAAATAAGGCACTATATAAATAAATAAATTAGACTCTCTATTTGGCTGCACTATTTGTAAAGACCCATTCACCTTTCTCAAAAGTTGCTTTGTCAAAAATGTATTTTACTTATGGACAAATGCATTTGTTTTATTTGGACTAACATATTTTTTCTTTGGGACAATACTTCTTTCAATTCATTATTGAAGGATATGGGAATAAAAAACAAGATCAAATTTCAAAGTCTCCTTTTTTCAATTTCATCAAATACCACTAAAAAAAACTGCAAAGTTTCACCACTCTACAGTGAAAAACGCTGATTTGCACTGTCCAAGATGAGTGTGAAGCTTTGTTTTTGTTGAGTTCAACTAAAGTCTGTAAATGAACATTATTATTATTACAATTGTTTCAATGTGTGTATTTACTTTTAGCCAATAAATAGGCTATTCATTGATAAAACAACAGTATGCTTATACTGTACCAAAAAATTGCTTATTGGGCTTAAAACATTTGATTGATTATATCGAAAAAGAGAAAAACGGAATATCACCACAACCATTACTGTAAGGTAATGAGCATTTTGAAAAAATCCCAAAGAGCACATTGACATCATAATATGGAGCAGATGAACTCAAGAACATTAGATTGTGACATCAAAATCACTGGCATTGGATCAACAAGCATGTAATCTTTAGCCAGCTATGTGAGCAGAAATGTAAGCAACTCATATTTCCTCTCTAAAGCACTATTCTGCATAATATTTACACAGTCTGCAACAAATCACCCATGCAAAAACACTTTACGGACCAACAACAGGGAACCCTGGAATGTGTTGACAGCACTCTCACAGCCCGGTGACCTTCAGAATAACTTTTAATGACAAGAAGCCTGTAAACACAGCCTCTCTAACGTTACTACAGCTTGAACGTGCCTCATTGAAAGCCAAATTCCGATCATAACAGTCTCCCTCTTTCCTCCGGCACATCCAGCAAAGCTGACTGCACAGCATGTTAACTGCATCTAATATTCTTTATGATGCTAGCCCACATTTTAATTCAGCACCTAAATGGGGCTTTGGCCACGACAGGCATCTTGGGCTCGGTACAAAAGTCGTCACCAAAAAATATGATGCTGGAAAGCACGGCACACAAGGGCCTCGCTGCATCATCAGTTTCGAAACACAAAGTTCTATTAACTGCTGATCATGAATCCCCTGGAGTTTTATAACAGTTCCTCAACAACAGACCGCACAGAAGACTAGTATAAAAGCGCAGGAGACTAATTTCCTTGCTATTACGGGGAGGGCTGAATCAAAACAAACATGACATTAATATTCTCCAGCAAACACATACTGACATTGCTGGGAAGCGCGGGACGATGCCAGAGCGTTTGGGCTCGGATGCACGTGTTGCTCTTCGTGAGGTGATGGGGATTGTTTTAGGAGGACAGACTGAACATGAATAGCGATTAGACAAAGCTGTGCTTTCCCAGCGGCCTTAGCTCTCGAAGAGGGCCAGCAGTGAGCTAACAGACAAGGGTTTGAAGTAGGGCAGCGAGGGAGACAACAGCAACTTCACTGATGACAGGACAATGTCTGTATCCTTAGTGTGCTACTAAAGCAAAAAAAATAAATAAAAAAAAAAAAGTGTTCACTGTTGTCTCACAAGTCGTTTTTTCTTTCAACTGGCTCTGGAAAGAGGAACGGACAACCTAAGATAAGAGGAACACTTTTTCACGCATCCTTGCTTTCGATAACCACAAGAAGGGACGTTACGTACAAAACAGTAAGACATGTTACAACTCCACCTTCACATCCCACCCTAAATAGTGTCTAGGTTAAAAGGGCACTTGTACGAAACCTAATTTGGACAATTTCATGAATGCTTATATAAATATGACTTATTATGAGAGTGTATTCACATTCTTGTCATCCATGTCGGTGTAATGTCTCGACATTCGAAAATATGCAGTTCTGGCAGCAATTCAAAATAAACCCTTAGCTGTGACTTTCAAAGTGCCACTTTCATAGAAACACATACAAAAAAACATTAATTCTAAGTGCTAAGGCATATATATTATTACCCAGAACAAGGCCATGTGAAACCACAAAAGCCTGTTAAACTTAATTAAGAATAAGGCTTACTCTTATCTTCTGTTTCTTAGAAAACAGATATTAACCGTAAAGCCTATTGTATTTAACGCATGAATTTCTAAAGCCTCTAAATTGTTAATATGATCAAACTTTGCTGAAAAAAGTGTTGTACACAATCTACTACATACCTTTTGTCATCTGTTAGAAAGTTTGTACTTTTTTTAGCAAGTAAAAGGCATTTTAGAATCATTCTAAAAACGTCCCCCTTCAGGTTATGGTGTCTTTTTGCTGTAAAATCTTTACAGATTTTTATTAAGTAAACATAAGAATAACTTCTTAATATTTCAAGATGAACATTTACTGGACTGAAGCAACTGATCATCCAATTTGAGAAAATCGCTTAAATGTAAGTATCAAACATGATACAACAATCTTTATTGCAATAAGACATAACTGAGAGATATACTGTAGATTGACATCTGATATTTATATGCATTTTACATTTTACAAGTAGTCTGTTATATCGTCATAAAGATACCATTGATTTACATTACAAGCTATTAGGATTTCATTGTACTTTTGGCAATATCAACTTCTACACCAAATTGGACAATTTTGCTCAATTTGGTGCTTCTGAATAAAACTGATATGCTTTTGAGTTTTTTTTTGCTTTTCTCCATATTCTCACTATATGAGCAATACAAGCCTGATGTATTAAATATGATAAAAAACATAAAACACATTTTTTTACATTTTAATATATATTTATTACAGATATAAGTCTTAGTAAATGGTTCTATTTTTGAATTTTTATGATTTTTCTGCCTATTATGTCATTCATGCCATCCGTCAGGCATTGCAAGGTTAATGTATTTACAGCTTGCAATGCTTGAATGCTGACCGAGTTGCTCTTATTAACCATCTCTCACATTTTGGAATGACTCATGGGGTTTCCTGACTAACCTGTGAGTAAATGGACTTGGCGTTTCACTACATGAGCTTGTAATCTGTGCATACAAACCTACATAACTTTACAATTATTTATACTTATTGAGTAATCATTGATGCAACTAAACATTGAATATGTGGGAGGACCAAATGTAAAATTGTCATAGAACAACCCCCTATTCTGGGGTGTGCCTTAGTGAATATGCCTATGAACTTCAGGATTGATTTGTTTATTGATTCTCAAGACAAACATAGCATGTAAATCGTCTCTAGGTTACGTATGTAACCATGGTTCCCCGAGGGAACGAGACGCTGCGTCGAGATTCGCTTTGGGAACGCCCTTGCGTGACCAACGACATCACGATGCCGAGCCGCCATCTGCCACAATTGAGCTAGTATTAACCAATCGTCAATATAATTGAGTATACGGATGCCCTGGAGTCGCAGTGGAGCCAGAGCAGCATCCACACACTTCGTGAAAGTGCGGGGTGAGAGTGACAGGCCGAAGGGAAGAACTCTATATTGGTATGCTTCGCCCCGAAAAGCAAACCTTAGGAACTTCCAGTGTTGAGGGAGGATGGAAACATGGAAATAAGCATCTCTGAGATCTATCGTAACAAACCAGTCCTCGGACTGGATCTGAGATACTATCTGCTTGATAGTGAGCATCTTGAACAGTAGCCGTTTGATATCGCGGTTCAGAAGATGGAGATCTAAGATCGGGCGCAACCCCCCCATCCTTCTTCGGAACGATGAAGTAACGGCTGTAGAACCCAGACGCAAGAGAGAGGAGGAACACGCTCTATGGCCCCCTTCCTCAAGAGAGTATCTACTTCTTGTTCAATTACCAGAGCCTGCTCGGGGCCCACTAGTGTGGGAATGACCCCGTTGAAACGAGGCGGACAAGAACCTAACTGGATTCTGTAGCCTCTCTCTACAATCTGCAGGACCCATTTTGAGACGTTTGGCAGAAATTTCCATGCTGCCAGAAAATTTTCTAAGGAAACCAGCCTCTCGAGTCTGGCCTCTGGTGTCATTAGAGGAGCCAGTTCGGTGCCCTGAAGC